TAAAAGGAGAAGCACAAGATTTTTACAGCTGTGAACTCAAGTTCTCTATACAGTTGCATCTACATCAAAGAACCTTCAGAGTACTTGACTTGGCTAACCAGACCGCCATGAGGGTGGAAAGGCAGGGTTCTGTATGGAGAGCAAAAATTATCTTGGGCTATCTTAAGTCCTTTCATAGCCAATTATCTTAATTTCTGTATCAGACCACAATTCTCAAAACTATTAAATTTCTCAGACTATATCACTACCCTTACCAGACATCTAGTCCCCACCATCTAACAAAGTAAGAATGTAATAAGAACAGTCAGAAGAGATTTTTTTTTCTTCCTTCCTTTCTTTCTGTAGCCCACCAATCTGATGATCCTACAAATGCAATTGGTTAATGTAGTGATACAAAGTTTCTTTTAGAAAAGTTCATGTAGGCCAGGCACTGTACCACATGACTGTAATCCCAGTAGCTTTAGAGGATAAGGTAGGAGGATTGCTAAATTCAAAGTCAGCCTCAGCAAGTTAGTGAGACCATAAGGAACTTGATGAGATCATGTCTCAAAATACAATCTAAAAAAGACTGATTGTGGCTCAGTGATTAAGTGTCCCTGGGTTTAATCCTTGTCTTTCAGGGTGGGACACATACATCATTTAGGGTCACTTGAATCCATGTTTCTGAGTATGGTAATTAATATTTAAATCAAAATGAACTATTTTCCATAGCTGGGATGCCAATGCCTTTAATGTCAACAGCTTGAGAAACTGAAGCAGGAGGGGCAGGACTTACAGGCCAGGCTGGGCAACACAGCCAGACTCCATCTGAAAATCAAATTTAAAAAGTTGGGGATGGAGAACAGAAGAAAAAATGAAACACTATTATCCTATGTGCATATATGACTACAGGACAGGTGTGAATTCACATCAAGTACAACCAGAAAAGGAGCAGTTACACTCTATGTGTGCTGTGTCAAAATGCACTATAATGTCATGTATAACTAATAAAAACATAACATAACCCAAGATTCAATATCCCTAGTTTCTACGTACAAATGCCTTTTTCCTTTAAAGTAAGTATTTTGACCAAACACAGGGAACTGTTAAGTGATTATTCTTTCCCCTCAAGTATGATATTCACAAATAGAAAACAAATGCTTTCAAAAGTGTTCTTCTTGCCAGGGACAGTGGCACAGGTCTTGTTAGAATGGCCTTAGGCCTGAGCCTAAGAAACTCCATTTAAAAGACCTGAAGTTTCACCAGGCACATCCACAGATCCTCCAGTAAGGCCTCAAACAAGTTCCTTCCCCTCACCCTGATAAAGAGAGTGAAGGCTATGCCAGGCTGTTCTTGCCTGATAAGAGGGAAAGGGAGAAGATCAGGGAGGAGATGATCCCAGGGTAAATGATGTCACTGAGAAATAGGGTGGTAGCTGATCAGGATTGAAAACATGATCAAAAGACCCAAAATATAGTATAAATGATAGAGCAGATGAACAGGAATTCAGGCAGCAGAAACAAGGATGCACTTAAGCTGGAGAGCCTGCTGAGGACCTGACATCCCATCACTTGGCATCTTTCCTGAGCCTCTGAAAGATCCTCACTGCTCTTAAACTCTACTGCCTCCTCTGGACCTTGGGGAGAGCTGCAACTCCTCTCTACAACCTCCTCCTCCACTGGTCCTCTGCTCCACACCAGGAAAAGCCTGCCTTGGTTCCAGACCTGGTCACTGAGGTCTGAGTGAGTGTGCATCTGCAGAACTCAAAGCCTCAGACATAAGACCTTTAAACTTAGCATGCAGAGAGAATGTCTGTCATTAGCTTATCATGATTAACTGTGTTTCCCAGTGCTTAGAATGAATCTAGAATTGTTTGCTGTGAATTGATTATGTCTATGGCAATGCCTAGCATTAAGGATTGTGGTTATCTTGAGTAAGAACCTATACAATTAAACTATATTGAGTAATTTGAGTGAATACAGCATTGAAAGGGGCAGAAGTGTGTGGACATTCTTTATTTCTCCCCTTGACTGCATAAGTCACAGTTTTGTCCCCTCCACACAGCCCTGTAATCCCAGGAATTTTGGAGGCTGAAGCAGAAGTGAAGCCAGATTTACAGATAGGTAGTTAGGCAAATTGGGTCTAATATTGTGTAAGATAAATAAAATAGAGGCCATTATAGAGAATGGAGTCCTGGAAACCAGAGCAGCAATTGAAATGTTAATGTCCCCAACACAGGAATCCATTCTAAGGAACTGTTAATCATAATCCAAAAGCCACCCCCGGCCTTTCCTGCAAAAACTCGTCACTGGTAAACAGCGGTAACAGAAGGATCACAGGTTGGAGACCAGCTTCCACACCAAATGGGTGCAGATCTCAGAATTCAGTAAAAGTGGAGGCTGGGGATGTGGCTGATAAAGCTCCCCGAGTTTGGATCCCCAATTAAAAGAAAAGAACTATTCTGTGCAATATTTCACTAGATGAAAAGTGACAATTAGCGGACGGTGTCCATTTGGACCGAGTGGGAAGAACGGACGTCTGGCCGAGCTGTGAGGTGGAGGGAAGGTGGGTTTAGAAGGCAGGAGGCGCCTGCAATTTGGAGGACCTACAGCAGCCTCCAGAGGAGCTCCCCTGGGAGAAGAAAGGTACATTTGTGGCCCTGCTTCCTCCACGTTGGGAACAGTGGGTCGGGCCACCAGTAGGGAGCAAAGGGGACACCAGGGACCTGAGCCGCCCTTCCAAATGCAGGAAACCAGGGAACAGGTCCACCCTCCAGCGGGGACACTGCGACGCTCAGCAGCTCACCTCAAAAACCCAAAACCCACCTCAGCCCACGAGACCAAGGGACAGGGCCACGACTCCCCAGCTCACCAGGGCACCGGGGCCCAAGGCAGGTGGTGACGTGTACCTTCAGCCCTGGTCGCAAACTCACCATTTTTGTCTTCTGTGGTGACCCGGGGTCCTCTGGAGGAACCTCCGGGCACCCGAGATGGGGGTGTGGGGGGTCACAGGCAGCAGAGTCACCTGAGTCCCTGGAGCAGAGAACTCTTGGCTTGAAGGATGAGAAGCCGAGTCGCTGGGGAAGAAAAGCCAGAGGTTGCGGAAGCCCGCCCTTCCTCTTCCTCTGCGCACTGATTGGACAGTTCCCCCAGCACCCGGGATGGACGGCCTCCAGGCCCGCCTCTGCATCGTGACTGACAGCCAACCTCATCCAATCACTGGCTGAAATTGGGTAGAGTGACATATTCCTGGCTCCAGCCCTTTTCAGGCGGAGCTTCCCGGCTGTGCTGGGAACTAATCCAGGTGGGAAGCCTTGGCTTAGCCTCTGGTACAGAGGGGACACCTGGCGCTGAGCTGGGCTTCAGCCATAGAGTGCTTTCTGAGCATGGCGAGGCCCTGGGTTTAACCTCAACACAAAAACAAAGCACAGCTTCTCAGGGAGGCTGGGGCTGGAGGAGCCCAAGGTCAGGTCAGCGTCTGCAAAGAATGAGACCCTCTCTTAAAATAAAAGGAATAGAGTGGGGATGTAGCTCAGAGGTCCAGGTCAA